TGCGAGCACAATTTCCGTGCTTTCCACGTTTCTCACCCTCTATATCTATACCAGCAGACGTTTTTGACATTTTGCTGATAACAGTTCTTATTGGCCTATCATTAATACCAAGAGTGTTTCGAAAGAAAGGTTTACATACCCGTCGCTTTTCACCGTTCTTCTTGAAATAAAAAGCGTGGTTTCCACCCCTCAGTTGGTTTAGAGAACCGTCATCGTTGACACGCACGTAATTGTATTTCCCACGTTCTATAGCGTCCATACATTGCCCAAGAAAATCTCTTTGCCTTTGTAGGTCTCCTAGCTTCCAGTAAAATGCAAAGATAGCTGCTCGTTCCTCTTCACTGAACTTAGTGATACACTGAAACTTGCATCCTCCGCAGGCTTGGCCCATTTTCCTTGGAGCAATCTTTTTTTTCTTAGAGGAAGTTGATGTATACGCCAATCCTAGGTTCCTTCTTTCTTTCGCGATCTTTTTGTGCCATTTTGCTGGATCAGATTTCCTCTTCTTGACATTAAGTCTTTTTCGCATGTTGATTGTTTTATTTTCATCAGGTAAAAAATCAGGATCATCGTCACCGTCGGTTGCAAACGGATCTTCTTCCGAACTTTCATGGCCTCCTTCGACCGTGCTTGCATGTTCTTCCAAGGTAGACTCCAAGGTACCATGGTCAGGGGTCTTGTCACTTTTAGCCACATTTTCTGCTTCCCCTTTAGAATTAGCCTCAACAAACTCACCTTCTGAAATAAATAAATTAAATTAGTTTCATTCATTGGTTAATCAAGAGCAGTAGAACCTTCATTTTATTTTAATCAATTTGAAATAACTTAAAGTGGGGTGGGGCGTATGGTTTGAAATATTTATTTTTTTTTTAATATTCTTTGAAATGTAGGTAATATATTTATTTATTTTAAAAATAAAATAATTCTGCTATAGCTTCGAAAAAAAAATCACAAAAATGCTTGATATGTTGATTTCAAACCATATCCCTCCTTAATCTAATATTTACCTTTAACAATGACAGCCCTACAGATCTGCTCAGGATCAGTCTCAACTTCAATAGACTTCATAGCATTAACCTCGACATATTCAGTCTCATTTACTATAGACTTAATTGTAATGGGCTTTATCGATTCACTCCCAATTTCTGTTGTCATAAGAGAACCAGACTTAACAAGCTCGTCTTCTGTAATAAATAAAGCAAAAATAAGGTTTTTTCTATTGATAAGAAAGAGCAATCAGACTTTCAGTCTGTCTCGAACAACTAAAAATTATAATTTAAACTAACCTTCAACTTCCATATGAACAACAGTGTCCGTCTTCACATTTTTAGTCTCAACTTCTAGAGCTATCCTAGCATCGATCTTAACATTATCAGTCTCCATTTCCATATTCCTATCGCTAGTGGGCTGACTAAGTTCATGGAATGCTATTGAATGTGATGCTTGAAAGTCTTGATTATCTATCCATCTGCTGGTCTTGCTGTGTACCGTCTCCATTTCACTAGGAAGAGGGACTTTCTTTAGGTGACTATACTTATTATCTTTTACAACTTCCCAGTGCTCTTTATGTGACCCTCCTGTGTCCACAGCGGACTTTGCCAACCTCATTAACATCATTACTCGATTACTTCTTTGTCTCTCCATTATAAACTTAGTCTGCAAATAATAATCGGTTTTACATTATTTTGCCATTAACTAGTTAGGATTGCAACGTTGAGACAATTGTTCCAAATAAATAATTTCTACCAGATCGTCACATTTAAACAGGTGTCACTTTGAGACACACAGTAATAAAAATGGGCACGTGAGTATTATTAAGAAAAGTGACATATTTTAATTGATACATTATATAAAACTGTTAGATTTATATTTTATAAGCATAATTCTAAAGCAAACTGTTACAATTTTAGTATGTCACTTTTCAAGATAATATTAGAAACAAGCCACATAGCAAATTATTAGAAATTTTAAATGTGACGGTTTACTAAAAAAATCATGTACTTACCTCGACAACTTCTCGCACTCAACTAAATTATGTCGATACGTACATCAATAGACGAACGACGAACCATCCGACCTTTACACCGGCAAAGCGACATTTCCTCCCATCTCTCGGAAACTATTCGGAGTTTAGTTATGACACTACGTTCATAAAATTCGCCGTTTTTTTTCCGATTTTTCGGTGTATTACCTCAATTTGACAAAATTTTGAAATGTGACACTTTTCTCGTGCATAAGCGATATGGAACTGAAACATGGGATTTTAACAACATAGACCACAAACTTCAAGTGACTCAGAGTGCTATGGAACGGAGAATGCTCAATATTAAACTCAGCGATCATAAGTCCAATGAAGAAATAAGAAGACGAACAAAAGTTACAGAAGTAATCCAAAAAATGGAACTGGACAGAACACATAGGAAGTATAAAAGACAACCGTTGGACGAAGCGATTTATTGAATGATTTGCCAAGAGCAAACAAAAGAAATGGATGCAAAAAACAACAAACAGAAATAAATGGACACACCTAAAAGTAGCTTATATCCGACGATGGATGGAATAGCTGTTGATGATGGTTGAACACTATTGTTAATATTTTTGATTGAACTTGTATTATTTTAATGTGTGATGGCTTTGAGCAACCCCCAAAGATGGATACCATAGATCAAAATCGGTTTTATTATACATTTGTACAGTAGCAGTTTATTTTTTCTGATTAGTTTTGATCTATGAGCCAACTCATAGATCAAATTATTATTTTAATGTTAATCTGGGTTTTCTTGGCTTGGCTATGAGGTTAATGCTGTTCATCTCTTGTCGAGAATTATTCCTAAATATTTAACCATACTTCATTCCACGAATATACGACTGTTTTAAATTTGGTTTAAGGTATCGATTTGAATGGTTAAAATACTGTTATGACAGATATAAACCTTAGATTTAAATATGAAGTCATGATATAATATAGAGTTGATAGTTTTATAACAGTTTGTAATTCAGATTTTGAAGTATATAATTACTATTATTGAGTTTAGTATTGTAAACAAGTTGGTTTTTGAATTAAGTGATTTAAACTAAGTGTAACAATACTTAAGTGATTAAATAGTGTAATTTATTTGGTCGAATATTCAATTAGTATTAAAAAAACACAAAAAAAAAAAACTTACTTATTCTCCTAATAAATTAAATATAAAGTACTTTAAATATAAAGTTGTCTACATCTAAAACACGTCTCGGCAGTTTTGGCTTCAAAATAAACAAATACACTACACTAAACTCTCTCTTAACAGACGGTTTTTAAAACTAAAATCAGTCGGCGATATATGAAACTTTATGTAAATTTTCGTTACTTTTAATATCTGTAACGACTCGGTACTTTAACTATCAATAGCGGGTATGTTATACCCGTTACTTTCGGAACTTTTAAGAGTACATTCACTCAAAGCAAACAAATATTTGAAACTAATAAAGTGAAATATTAGATTCTGTTTCTGGTTTCTGAAACATCGTTCTGCCAATTTCTTTTCATTTATATTAAAAATAGTATATTTCTTTTTATTACAGTTGTAGTACCTAATAAAGTAATAAAATACCGTAGTATCAAAGAAACCCGTCACGCCTCTTTGGTGTTTACATTTTACGGAAACCCAACCCAAATGTCTGATGAACACATTTGGCTTCATAGACGTCATTTATTTGTAGGACCGTTGGCGTAAAAATTTTTGTTATTTTCGGATTAAATTTCACAATAAATTTTGCGTCTATCTGAACATCTATTAACTGAAATAATTTATTTTAGATGTCATACTAACAATAGATCGTTTTTATTGGAATAATGTTTAGAAAAATTTACTTTCATACTTCTACTTACACAGTAAAATATTCGTTACCGTAATAATCCAAAACAGTCGTATATTCGTGGAATAACCTATAGTGCCGATTGGTATCTGCGTGCCATTTATTGTTGTTCGACACTTATCTCTTCGATTTGTGAATGACTTGGATTTGTTTTCGTTTACTTTCCATTTGTTGAGCCATATTTCTAGCTGCTTAAGAGTATAGGCGCAAAATTTTGGGGAAAGGCTTTTTAAATGCATTCATTTTTTTCGAATTCTGAAAAAACAAATAAATATTTTGGAAAAATTTAAACGCAGAATGAAAGATTACATTATTACCGAGGGCCGGAAGTCCCTTATAATAGCCAAAAAGTTTTTTTGAATGAAATATTTAAAATTAAAAATCACACTAAATTTTCTCTTCTTTTTCACCCCTGTAACTTTTTAAAATAAACCTTATAGAAGTTTTCAGGGACTTTCGGCCCTCAGTAATAATGTATTATTTCATTCTGCGTTTAAATTTTTCCAAAATAATTATTAGTTTTCTCAGAATTCGAAAAAAATGAATGCATGCAAAGCGTTGGACCAAAATTTTGCGTCTACGCTCTTAAGGTTATTTTGTAGATGTGTGGATGCGGTGATGGGGTCCTCGTTGATAGTGGTTATGGTGAAGGCGTCGACAAAATTGAGATTTCTGTTGTATTTCTGGATGGGATGTTTGCAGTAAATATCAGATAAGGCACTCCTGATTTAATGGGGAGAGTACGTGAAGGTCGCGGTGTTATATTCTACTTGAAAGTAACTATCTTCGACATATGGTTCTTTAATGAGGTAGTAGGAAGTTGGGAGGATGCTTTGAAGTTTATATCAGATTCGATTGTGCCATACTCTATCAAATGGTTGTTCTGTATCTAAGACTGCAGCTGTGCAATATTTTTTTCCTCAATGGCAGTGAGGATTTTTGTTATTGGAGAGTGTAGGTACCTGAAACTAAGTGGTTCCTTACCACTGGATTCTAATTCTGGATTTGCTTTACTATAAAGTTGAGTTATTGGTAGATAACTCAAGTAGATTGGTATATTTTTGGTTCATGTTGATTAGGATAGCCCCCAAATATAATATAATAAAAATACCAAATTACTTAAACCATAATTTATTTTTCAGCTTGTCGAGTTAAATCCATATGCAGCATTATGCAATCAAATGCTAAGACAAGTGATGGACAAATTAAAATAAATATTATTTACAAGTATGTTTAATTATATATTTAAGTGTACACCACTATATTTTATTTAATATAATTTTAAATGCATTAACCTGTCGTAAATCATTTTAATAACTATAATAAATAGGTCGGCCCCTTAAAATCTCTTCATAAAGATAAAAGGACGTTTTCGGAGTGGACCCTGTACACACTCTCAAAATAAATAGCACCAATTATAAAATTATACCAGATAAATAAAAGTAGGTCAATTTCAACTATATATCAGAGAGATTTAAATACTATATAAATAATTTAATAAAAGTAGCCTGGTTTAAAGATACACTTTCTTGACTTTGCATCATTTTTATAGTTTTTCTTATGATTCCATTTGCAAATTAAATTTGTAGGTACTGTTACCAACACGGTAAATTTTGATTATAAATATCACACATATAAACAAGCTATCACTACAATTAAAGACAAGTATTTTTCAAATTCAATGTGGACAATAATTTAGAATTTGCTTCTACTAATGTACTAGTTATTTTTCTGCCTTAACGGTGAAGTTAACATTACCACCTTAATAATGAATATTAAAACAGTAATGAAGCGTTTTAAGCAATTTGAAAACAAACTTCCTAAAGATTTTATATTTGTGTGCAATTTTATGTTTAATATAAATGTTTAGTTCATATCATAATTATTAAAATTGATAGTAAATCATGGGAAGTCTGACAAAACAGTAAAGTATCAGAGCGGTATTAAATAAGTTATGAACTTATTCCAAGCAATAGTCGAGACTACGTATTGTATGACATTTATTGCAAAAAACTCTAGATGTTCTATACTCTCTTAACTGTTTCTCTCTGTTTAACCCTCTCTTAAATGTATGTCTCTTATATCAAGTCATGAATCCAACAAGTCATATTTTATTTCTATTTAATTTTTTTTAATAAAAATATATAAAGTACGCAAATCTTTCAGCTGGACATAGGTAATATACATTGAGTTAAGTGTGGCAATTGCGCTTTCTCGAGTCTACGCCAATATTCCAACACACTAAGCGTTAGTGACAGCCTATAATACGATTGATAACTCGATAATCGGCATCTTAGAATCTATTAGCTGTACACAATTACACATTTATTTTCAATGGGAACCGAAAAGCGAAGAGTATCGTTTTAAAACTTTCATTTAAACTTCTTCAGAAAAGGTTCAAATAAGTAAATGGTATTATCAAGGCAATTCTTCGTCAGAATGTGTAGATCTTTTTGCTAATACTTTCAAAAATAGTAATAGACCCATAACCTGTAGACAAACAATTGCAAATATTGTAAATAGTATTGAAACCCATTATTGTTTACAAGATTGTACAAAATAAAAACAAAAGCAAAAAGATCACCTCGGAAAGACATCAGGAAATCAAAAGGAGAGAAGAAATTATTTGTGCTGCTATTGAGCTGGATAAGTTATTTCCCGGAGATCAATTTCGTAGAATGAAGTTTTGTGTAGCTGTAATGAATGCATCTCACGAAAATGATATATTTATAAAAAATATTCTTGTCATGAATCGTTATTTTCAGTGCGGGGTCATCACAATTCTTCCAGAACACGGTATTTTTTGTTGAGGGAGTTCTGAATTCAGCTAAATATCTTGCTCTTTTACAAAATAACATTATTCCAGCTATTCAGAATCTCCCAGATGTACATTTAGAAGATGTTTGTTATCAACAGGATGGCTGTTCCGTTCATAACGCGCATATTGTGAGAAATTATTTAAACACAATTTTTCAGGATCGCATTATAAGCGGAAAAAGCCAAACTAAATGACCTACGAGATCTCCCGATTCGACTTCCATGGATTTATTTTTCTGGTGACATATTAAATCCACCATCTATGGCAAAGATCTCGAGAGGACACATAATCTAGTTGATTTAGAAAATAAAATAAAAAATGCATGTGCTACGATTACGTCACAACAGCCTTGCAAACGAAATAGACTAGGTTATTGTCTTGCAAAAGAAGGTGGTATATTTGAACGTTTTTTTTTTAGTTTACTTATTTCCTTGTACTATAGAATGTATTGTTTTTCAATTTCTTTAAATGAATTTTATTTATGTTTAACTACTTTTGGAGTTAACTTAATTAAGGTTTTTAACTGCATTGCAATAACAAATTATTTACGTAGCAAAATTAACTCCCTCGATGCACATGCAATATAATAGTAATTGATACTAAAAGTTAAATAAAACTAAAATGTCTGTGGTCTTGATGACAGTAGTGGGTTTGAGAAAACGCAGTTGCCACACTTACTTTTTTTACGTTTGTACTCTTGCTTTTTTAAATATTCTTTTAATTTTCCTTCTACTTTTAACAATCATACTGTACGGAAATGTCATTTTTTCTCAAGAAATTTTCAGCAAAATGATTTGAAACGATGTCTTATAAAAAGAAAATGATAAAAAGTCAATGAGGTTCACAAAGTGTGTCTTTAAACCGAGTATCAGTACTTTATTTATAAAAAATATCAAGATTCATTCTAAATCTAAAAAAAAAATTGATTTCAAACACTAAAATTGATTTTAAAAAATCTGACTAAAAATCAGAACATTGACTTCAAAAATTTTTGATAGAAAATGTTGAGTATTTTTATAATCGTTATATATTTCCCAGGTAAAATAAAATAAACTCTCAATGCTCATTCAAAATAATATAAACGTATTACAGAGTATATCAATTACAATTAGGGAAAAGATTTTATTACTTTGTCGAATTCCATAAACATATTTTTTAATAATGATTATAATATCCATAAGATATATTTTCTAAGGTCGTTATTGCATTTTCTTCTTTAGTATTATTATTTACAAAAAAAGTAAATGGTACAGTTCTCCCCAAAAATATATTACACGTTGACAGTCGATGTCGTAAATATAATATATTTTTTTAAACAAATGTTTTAACTACATTATGCAGATCATTTAGAATTCGCTTCCGCTAATGAACTAAAGAACAATTCTCTTTGCATATTTTTTATCGTGAAATAAATATGCACGTATTCAGCAGTCTATTTTCGTATCAAATTACTAATTTTCTTTGAACGGATTAGAGCTCCAACGGATGATATATCTGCGGAGAGAACTTTACAAGTTAACATAGGAAATAAAAAACTGTTTATGGAACATGAACCCTAAAAACTTAAACAATCATCTCCAAAAATGGGTCAAACATAAACAGTAAGTATATAAGAAGACAGATGTAGTACAACGCAACACGTGTAGTCACTTTACCATCAATAGAAACATGTTTTAAGAACCTGTTTACATATTAACAGGAAGAGCACCACCCCCAATGTTAAATCTTAACTTTCTATATGGAGGAATGTGATTCTTCTAGACGACAACGCTTAGCTGCATATAGCGGATTTAACGATGTAAACATTGAAAAACTTACACCGATGACATCTGTTAGCGACAAATGTTTCAATAAAAACGTTTATAATATAGAAGAAAAATGAATCTTCACTGTGTGCTATCTACAAAATTAATAGTTTGATTCCCATTTATATTTGATCCAAAATCGTAGTTCACTAGTTAAAAATCTATTAGTATACACCACTACCAGCCGATCGTTTACCCCCACTACCGAGATGATTCAACAGTTTTATGGTCTTATTTTTAATGATTGTTGAAAAGTACAATATGCAATCATACTTAAATAATAGTTTATTAGTTAGTACTACATTTATGAATTGAACCGTTTGTCTATATACTCTGTACACAGGTGCATATCTTTTGGTATTCAGGAACAAAAATAATTCAACGAAAAAAAACCAAAGTACCCCTATAAAAATATTTTATTAGCCTGAAATCAATCAAACTAACCGACCAAGTACATTTCGAGCTGTTTGAACTACTTGCCATCTAATAACAATCTAATTCAAGTTATCTATAGTCAGTTTAAAAGATTTATATACAAGAACTATTAAAATGTATTATTTAAACTACAAATTTTCCTTCCAGCGGAAAAAATTAGCCAATTAAAAGGAAATATGTTATATGAATATATGTTTAGGTAAAGATCTTCTCGATAATAAAAATAAAAATACTAAAAAACTATAATAAAACAAAGTTTTTTGTTAAATACATCAAGCAGGAGAACTGTAACAAATTTGATCTTATTAAAAGGTAGTCAATAAAAAACTTTTAATACCACTATTAATCTTATGACCAATATTTATTTTCTAATGAAGAATCAAATGGTGTTGAAATATAAAGTCGAAATAATTTTAGATTTAATGTTAAACAGCTCACCTATATAAACAAAAATAGTCTTCTTATTTAAATAAAAGTGACTATTAAAACTCCTATCATTAGAAGGTCATTTAATATGGAAATTAGTTCAAATCGCACGAGGGAACCCGATATAATTTTCTCTACCACAGTATGTGCACAAAGATTTAAACATTAAAGTCCTCTAATTGCTTAGGATTCAACATCTTCCTGCTCTATAATTTCGAAATCTTTGCCTGTACTGGATCGTTGGCTGGATTCGCTTTCACTTTCAGATCCATTGTTATCAAGCTGCTGCTCCCTGTTTTCAGGTCTGAAATTAAAACAAAATTTTACGCAATGTAGCGTATATACAGTGCTAGTCAAAAGTCCGTTCACTCCCCCACCCCCCGTATCTTGGGAGGGAGGTAATAAACACACGTAGGCTTCCTAACTAGTCATAATAAGTGATGTAATAGTGACAGATGACGTTACAGCGCCACTGTGACAGATAATTTAAATAGGACCTTATGGCAAGTGATACCTCGCTTTGAAAAGTATTGAAAATACCTATTCAACCACACTAATTTTATTTGAGTTTACGCTCATTTTGATGAATAAATTAAATAAATACTAAAATTGTAGTTTCGCATTTAGTTAATAAATATTAAAACCTGCGCCTCTGGTTAATTGTCAAAAAGTTGACGATTTTCAATTCTCTAATTGTTTTTACGTCAATGTCAACTTTTTTGACTATTAACCATTGCGTAAAAAGACAAAAGAGAGAATCTAATCCTTATGAAAAGGAGACCAAAAAAGTGGCCTCTGATGGCGGACATATCCGGAAATGCGAATGCGCCAAATTTAAATTTTCAGACACTTATTAACAGTAGCTGTATAATATTTTCAGAATGTGTCTTAGGCGAGAAAGTTTTAATTAATTATTAACGATAATAGTCTAAAATGCGACACATTTGTTAAAAAACTTCAATATAAATAAGATTTCATGTGACATTTGGGACAAACAATAACACAACCCAACTAAATTTGATGTCAAACAAGGAGAGAGACTTTCTTTCCTTGTTTAATGTGGCCTCTAAAGATAGCACTTTCTGTCTAACAATATTTTTGTCCCCACTACCTTTACATTCCCTCTTTTGTCTTTTTGCTCGATGCTATTAACCAGAGTCGAACGTTAGAATATTTATTAATTAAATGCGAAACTACAATTATTTTAATATACCTATTCAATCATACTAATTTGGTATTTAATTCACAAAAAATCTAACGTCCGCCTTTGGTTATTTGTCAAAACAGTTGACGTTTGTCAATTCTCTAATTGCTTTTAGTTTGCAAAAGCGTTTATAGCTCAATATTTAGTTTGTTTAGTTTAATCAATTCTCTAGTTATTTTTAGTTTGCAAACGTGTTTAAACCTGAATATCTAGTTTCTGTTTCTGCTTAATTTAGTCAAGTTGTTTTTAGTTAGTTGCTCTTAGTTAATATTTGGTTTAACTATTGTTTGACGAGATATTTAAACATTTTTACAAAGGCAGAATGGTAGGTACTGTAGCGAACAAAGTAGCAGTTGTGGTAATAATTGGTGAATGTTGAAATAATTTCCATGCAGCAGAACGTCTTTTTAATGTGAGGCACCCCGATCGCCCTACATCGAGAGCTTATTTGAGGAAGCTTCTTCGGAAGTTTAAACAAACAGGTAGTGTTTAAGATGTCAAAAGATCTGGTCTACCAACAATTAGTGATGATTAGTGAAAATTTACATAATCAGAAATGGTAGTGAACCCTACTTCTTCTATAGCCCAAGTTGTATCTATCTAAGGAATCAGTCAAAAAACAGTACACCAAATGTTGGCTGACAATAAATTTCATCCATACAAATTAAAAATTGTGCACCAACTTTCAGATGATGACCCCGACCGAAGACTAGAATTCTATGAAAATATGTCCAATAAAATTAACCAACAGCCCGATTACATAAAAACAATTTGTTTTAGTGACGAAAGTACTTTTTCTCTCAATGGAAATGTTAACACACACAATGTGAGGTATTGGAGTGACACAAATGCTCACGTCTTGCATGAAACACACTCAATTTAAAAAAAAAAAAATGTTTGGGCAGGTATTTTGGGAAACCACATAGTTGAGCCTGTTTTTCTTAATACTAACTTAACCGGTGAAGTGTATCTGGAGATGTTACAAAATGCAATTGAATCGTTAATACTTGAAATTCTGGAGGATAATCCAGATGAATTCGGTAACTTGGAAATAACGTTTCAAGAAGATGATGATCCTGCACACCATTATGGTGCGGTAAGACGTCACCTAGATGAGGAATATCGTGGTAGATGGTAGGTTGTACTTGGTTTGATGACGACAATAATTTTATTTGTCAGGTTTCCAATGAAGGGTAATATTTTTCTTTATCTGCTGAGTTTTCCATGGCTTGATATGTGATTTTTCTTCACTTCTTTCTGTTGTTCATTTTTCCTTTCCAACCTTCTAGCCCCATTCTTTCCACAGCTTTCTCTATTTCTTGCTTTCAAATATTACTCGTCTTCATTTTCTCTTTTTTGAGGATATAATGTAGTTTAGGATTATTGCAGTTCTCGTATTCGGCAGTCTCTAGGTGGCCCCTCCAACTCTGGTCCTTAATCACCCCTATGTTTGGTTGATTGTATAATTCCTTTAGCTCGTCGTTTGATTTCACCCATAGGCTACCTTTTAGGATTCTCCCATATATCCTCCTCAGAACTTTTCTTTCCTAGATCTCCAGTAAACTTTGATTTTATTTATTCACCAGGATCATTCACTCCATTCACATGGAGTCATTCTCCATCTCACTGCACTATGTTACTACTTGTATCGTGGATTCATACTTGCTTCCCAACATTCCATGAAGCGCGTGTAAATTTCCATTGCTTGCCATAATTCTAGCTTGTATTTCTTCTGTAATGCTCGGTTGACTTGTGATTACTGTTTCCTAGATACGTGAATCTTTCTACTATTTCGAATTCATATGCTTTTGATTCTATTACTTCTGCTTTTCTACAATTCTGAACTTTGCCTTCTATCTGTTCCATACATTTTGTTCTGGATTCATTCATGTACAGTCTCGTTTTCCTCCCTGTTTTGACTAACCTCTGTACTATCTCCTGTAGTCGTTCTTCTTCTCTTGTCAGCCCAACCACCTTATCTGTGAATGCCAAAACGTGTCTTTGGTACAGTAACCCTTTCCTATTTTCGCTTCTCGCGTCAATGTTTATAGGCATTAAAGGTTACAGTTTTCTGTATTCTCTATAGTAATATGTATGATGTTGCGTAACTTTCCGCTAATTTCCAATTCCCTTTAATTTTCTTCCTCTCTCTTACATCAAATTCATTCTTTCACAAGTTGTGTTCCCAGCTTTCTGCTTGTATTTCTCTGATTACGAATACTTGGTTCGTTGTGCTTATTTCTCGTCTATTGAATTCTTCTATTATCTTTTTAACTACTTTTTCAAGTTTATATTCAATGGATTTTGTAATTTCTATTCAGTAATTACTACTGCTACTCCTCTATAGTTATTGCATTCTGTTCTGTAGCCATTTTTGGCTACAGAACAGTAGTTTAACAGAACAGTTTATAATACGTTTATTGACGTTTCAGTTTACACCTCGGATTTCGCAACGATTAACGATTTCCGAAGAGGAAACTGAAACGTCAATAAAATTATTTTAAACTTAAATTGTGGCTTATTCCCAATTAAAATTGTAGTTTCTTTAAGATACTATAAGAAAATAGCTCCAGAACCGTGTCTTTTATCTATAATATCTTTTATCCATATCTACTTTATGAATTTATACACCCATTCATTTAAAAATTTTCCACCACACTTCAGCACCTCTGATGTTATGTTATCACTTCCAGGGCATTTTTTACTTTTTTATTATTTCTTCGCTTTTTTCTTTGCTAGGTGAATTGTCTTCTACATCTAAGTGTTTATTTTGTCTTTCTGCTTCTGTGTGTCCTTTTTGTTTTAGCTTGTCCTTGGCATTTAGTAATTCGTCGAAATATTCATTCCATATCTCTAGGACTTCTGAACTTTCTCGGGTTTAAACTTATTTTCGCTTTATCTTTAAAGAATAAAGTTTTTGTTGCTATCATCCTCTTTTCTCATCTCTTCCGCCTGGGTAAAGGATTCTACTTCTTTATTTCCGTAGTTCTCTTCTGTTTCTTTTAGTTTATTTTCTAGATGCTTTCTCTTCTTTTCTCTTAACGCTCCATTTAATGTTTTCCTTTGTTTTACATAGATATTATTTGCCTTTCTTGTTCCTATCGTGACCTTTTCCATCCTTAATGTACTTCTTTTTGCTATTTATTTTTGGTACTCCATGGGTTTTTATAATCAGGCCCGTTCTCACGTTTAGCTCACATCTGGCGTGGTGATTCATTTGAGACTGACTGTTTGTAGAAGCACGTTAAGAAGTCTGTTTGTGGACTGAACGTTGTTTGTGCAAGTCAAGTGACAAATTGGTATTACCACCCGCCGCCAATGATAAACATTTATAGGTTAAGTTAGATCATTCATAATTTTATTTTAGAATTGTTGAAAACGATTTTCGGTTGGACACCGACAAGTCAAAACAAATGAAAAATGCAATTCTTCTTACAATCAATTATATCACTAAACTCATATAAAATAATATTTAACTTCAAGATGTCACAAGAAAATACAGATTCAGAACCTTCTTAATGATACACTTACTCCACAACTTCAGCTACACCTGAATTTGGTGACTCTTCATCGGCAGGATTCTCATCTTCTTTATTATCGTCATCTTCAGCATCGGAATCCTTTTCTTTCTTTTTCTTTCCTTTGTTTCCTTTATATTCATACTAAAATTTAAAAAACAAATTATTTTTACAAAATTACGTAAAATTTTCATAATTTGATATAAAATGCCATTCGCATAAAAAAACTAGTTCTGAAAAAGTAAATATTTAGACCAAATCGGCGAATAAAAAATAAATGTGAAAGACGATTCTGAGAGAAAATTTGTCGATGAATATAAAAGATAGAACGTGTCTGGGCGAAAATTGAGTAGAACTACAGAACGCTTTAGAATCTACAGGACGATCTCGTGCGCTATGTGAGAGTGGCATAACAAACGCAATATACTTCCAATAAAGATGCCCAGTCTCCGTAAGTATCCAAAATGACGATGTTGAACCTTATATCACAGAATAATAAACAATCAGAATGTCCACTCTCAGATGCCGCCTTTGAAGTTTTTCAGCACGCGCGCCATGTTTTAGAAGGAAACACATAACACAGACATATGATTTATGAGGTTATGTAATTGTTTATATTTATTTAATTCTATTACATTTATGTTATTATATTTAACAATGTTAATATAATTATATAGTATATCTATGATTGCCGTAAGTCAATTAAACCGGGTTAATTTTGTCTATACACACCACATAAACAACACTGGTTCCCTCTAAAACATGGCGGAACGTCTGCGCGTACTTAATTTTCCATGGAGAGTGGGCATTCTGATTGTTCATTATTCTGTGCTTATATTGAGTTGGGACAATTCAAATATGGACGCTCTTTGCAAATCAGTGGTGTGACAAAGAGGGGAGAATAGGAGGAGAACAAGAATACATTACTTTAACTAGTTCGAATCTCGGCACCATCAAAGACGTTTTTATTTTTAAAAATGATACGAGCCGTTTACCGTGCTTCGGAGGGAACGTAAAGGCGTCGGTCCCCCTGGGCTAAAATGCATCGACACTAGCCACTATAAACAGGATTAAATATGCAAAAAACAATTCGAAGGGATATCCCCGGCAAACATGTCATACGATATTATTATTATTGACTAGTGTTACTAACATTTTATTACAGAGCCATTGGCTACCACATTGACCCATCTTATTCTATTCACAGTAGCTCGAAATAGATCAGTTGACGTTAGACCAGTCCATTTCCTAGGATTGGCCAGCCAGGATTACGTCTACGTCCAGGGCATCTCTTACCCTTAATCTTGCCCTGTAGAATCAACTGTAGAGTCACTATTTATCACTACGTATGATGTGGCCGAAGTAAGCCAATTTTCTGTTTTTTATGGTGTTAATAATTTCTTTGTCTTTTCTTAGCCTCTGGAGAATAGTTATGTTACTTGTGTGGTGTATATATAAGTCCCTCAACATACGTCGGTAGCACCACATTTCAAATGCCTCCAATCGTTTTATGGCATCTTTTGTAAGGCTCCAGCTTTCTACTCCATAGAGAAGGACACTAAAGACGTAACATCTAAGAATTCTTATGCGAATATTGGTACTTAAAGATAAGTTGCAGATAATCTTCCTAAGGTTGTTGAAAGAGTTTTCTGACTTTTTCAATACGAGTTATTTGGCCGGGTAAGCCGGTGTTCTTCCTAATGATCATTATTTTTGTCTTCTTGCAATTGTTTTATGCCGTATTTGTTACATGCTTCTACAACGTTATCGATCATCCTTTGGAGCCCCTGCGCACTATTTGCCAGCAACACCGTATCGTCTGCATATCTAATGTTGTTTATAAGTTGGCCATTTACAGCAATCTCATCTTCTGATTCGTCCAAGGCCTCTCTAAAGATATTTTCAGAGAATATTTATGTTAAATAATGCCGGTGACAATATGCAACACTGTCTAACTCCTTTTTCGACTGTGAAGATCTCGGACAGTTCATTTTCGAATCGTACTGTTGCTTTTTGTTGGAGATATAAATTTAAAATCAGTCTTATACCCTTACCATCGAGTCCTGATGTTTTTAGGATATCGATTAGTTTCCCATGTGGGACTTTATCAAGTGCCCTCTCGAAATCAATGAAAAATGCATACTCATCGCAGTTGACATCCCTGGCTCTCGTGCTTCCCTCGTTCCGAGTCCTGCTCTGAATCCAAATTAAACTTCACTCAGGTGTTCTTATAATTTGGTGTATATGAGCGAGTGAATGATAGTAAGGAGTACTTTAAGTACATGGCTTACCAAACTAATTAATCTATGTTCTTCACCTTTTCTAGCGTTGGCTTTTTTAGGAAGTGGAATGAATATTGATAGTAGCTACTTTTTTGGTAAGTAACCAGTCTCGTAGATGTTGTTGAATAGCTTCGTAAAAGCTGTGATTTGGTGTGCCTCTAATAGCTTAAAATTTCAGCATGAACCTCATCAGGTCCTGGCGATTTCCCATCTTTAATCCGGTTAATGGCCATAGTTACTTCTTCGTGGTATTCTGTATCTCTTTAATTTGTTTGTGTATATGAAAATCGTCATGTTTGCGTTGCAGTGTTTCAACTTCCATACATTTTTCCGTCAACCATGCTTCTTTTGCCCCTTTAATCTCCTTAAGTATAGTCTTATGCAACTTTTTGTATTTGTTGTCATTTCTATCTTTTAATTCTCTTCACTCTTCCATCATCTGCAATATTTTATCTGTCATACATTCCTGCTTCTTTTCTCTTTTTGATTTTAGATATTCATGCAAAATTGTATATATGTCTTCATTTCGTTCCACTGTTCTTCTATGCCTCTTTTTAGCATTGGCAAAATAAAATTTTGACATGTAAAGATCTACAAGCTTTTCCCTACCATAAAGGCTCTTTGATACATCATTTTGACTATCAAGACTATATTTTCAATGGGGTTTAAGTCAGCACTTTTTGCTGGCCGTACAAAACGTTTATGACGTTGCTATTTTTGAATATACCAAACTGATTTCTCACATGTTAAAAGAAAAAAATATTTGCAAACACTTCTCTTACTAATTACTATTTAACTGGGAATAAGCCACAATTAAAGATAAAAATACGTCTATTGACATTTCAATTTCCACTTCGGAAATCGTTCTCAAAATACAAACAGTAAATTAAACAAATTTTGTTTTTTGTTACATAGTGAAAAATTCTTCTAATAATTTAATTTTATCCGACTCATTTATATTGACAATTCAGACATACATTATGCATTTTAAAGTAGACGACTTTAAAATGATATTGCCAATATTGTTGAGTTGCGCTCCTGGGACGACTTTACTTATAAGATAGTTCATTCGATTACATGAAATCAACTTTAACTTGAGAATATCCGTCAGAAAAAAATCATAGCATGTAATTCGTCTTTAAAAAGACAAATACATGACATGATGGCAGTAAAATTCTCCTGTTAGTGATTCCATAGTAAATTATGAGGGAAAATCCAGAAAAAAAACCTCATAATACTATCCCGACATGGTATGTTTTTTTGTCGTGCATTTAGTTTACCTTCAATAAACACCAAAATTCTGATTTTATATGTTTCGTTAATTAAAAAACATAAATGATGTATCCTCTATATGTTACTGACTTACTAATACTGGTATTTTCTTATTAATAACTTCCTCTTTCAATATTGGTAATCAGATCCTACTACATTCTGCCGAGGAATTTGCGACACAATGGCCTCATTCAGCATAATTAGAGCTGCTTCTTTGATTTTTCTTTTTTTACCATCCGTTTCTTTTAGGACTACATTTGAATTATTCCATTGAACCCTATGTTCATTATCCCATGCGTGTTTACATATTTGAGATCTATCAAATTCTCTATTTTTAATATAAGATTGATGTTCACTTATTCTAACATTTAATGGTCTTGATGTTTCACCTAAATAAAACTGATCGCATTCACAAGGTATTTTATAAATGCAATTCTTTGTCCTTTCTTGTTCATTGTTAGGTTTGGTTTTGTACAAAATAGATATCAACGTGTTTGTTGTTTTAAATGTTGTTGAACTGGTGAATTTACTTCCTATCCTTTTAAGTTCTTCTGATAATCCTTTTATGTACGGTATTGTTATTTTCCTCGTATAATTTTTCCTTAACAATACCGTACATATAAGGATTATCAGAAAAACTTAAAAGGATAGGAAATAAATTCACCAGTTCAACAACATTTATTCAATATCTTTTGCACTATAAATAAAATTCATTTAAAAAAACACCTGGCCTTAAGACGCTTGGCTGTTAATCGCCTACAAATTTCCAGTTTCGAGAACCGTTAATGCTTATCCACACAGAAGATTATCACATTCTTCTAAAATTTCTGCTCGTGAATTAAAAATTCAGTTAAACTCGATTATTTTCCAAAAACTTTGCCTCGGTTTCAAAACGATTTTTGACGGATATATTCTACGCGACCATTTTTCTCATTAGTGACGTTCGCTACACTTTGTGTAAAAAAGTTTTGGCTTGTTCTTGTCAGCCTTTCTTAAAGTGAAATATGCAACTTTTACTGACATTTAATTCAGCAGCCAATGCTTTAAAGGCCAATTTAGCTATGGCATCCGACTTTTGAGCTTTAATTAAATGCTGCGGAATTTTTTAAAAGCTGTCAAATTAGAACGAGATATCATATCCTATTGGTCGTAGCCGATTTGAGAGGCAATGAGAGGACTTAACTCCTTTCAGACAAGAAAGTATGGAAGGACTCTAGGATCTCATAGGTAAATCACGTTAAAAACGTTGAACCGTTAAGAATAATGAAAAAAAAAAATGACAAGCTATAATCTAAGATAAAACAGAGGACAGAAGTAGTGTGGGATGAAGATGAACATCGTAGATGAAAAATCTAAGAGATTGGTATGGATGTAGCTTAAAACAATGTTAACAACAGCTGTTTCGAGAATTAAAGTGGCCATACTGATTACTAGGCTCCATTGCGGATATGCTAATTGAACAATAAGAGGAATATTGGTCATAGCAGTGCTACACAATACTCAACCGAATCCTATGTAATTTAATATTTTGTGACCTTTTAACCCGATATTACTTGTGTTATGTTACTTAAAAAAAGTTTTTTTCGGTTAAAAGTCGTTCGGAAAATGTTTATAAACATTAAATTCAATAAATATTTAAAATGTTGAAATCCGCCGTGTATTTATTGCTTGATTTGATAAATAAATCCAGACAGAACATATTATACGATTTTACGGAATATTCAGCGACAAAATTTATACCATTGTTAATATCTCAAGTATATTCAGTTTTTTGTAAAAATTCTTGTCATTGTTGTCATATGTACTTAAATGATTTTATTTTATCTAAAATACGAAAACTGTCACGTTATCTAATAAAAATAATTGCAAAGTTATACTTACTGTATAGAGCGGCCAAAACGATGCGAAGAATCCTACGTCTTCCGTCAAATTCGGAAGGATCCACAAATGATGTTTTCCCATTGATACCGTCCATATCAAACAGAATATTATTAAACGGATAACAGCTAAAACAATAATCGATACCAAGAAGCCAGCTGCAGCTACACTGAGATAGTATACTCCCAATCTGAAATAATCAAATCATCATTTCTACAGTTAAAAGAGTATGATGATTTCTAATTCTAATAAAATTGCTATAAAAATACACATAAAATAAATATCTATTAAGAGAATATGTATAAGCAAAAATAACTCCATTAACCCTTTCAACATGTTTGACGACTTATTTTACATCATAATGTTCCTTTTCTCACATCGTATCCTAAAGTAAAAACGTGATGTGACACTCCGGGAGTAATCGAAGGAAGGGAGGCATAGGTTTCTTGTCGTCTAATTTAATTTATTTGGTTCGATTCGATTCTAATCGATTCAATTTCAATTGATTCTAATCGATATTCGATTCCAATCGATTTTATTAGATTCAATTCGAATCCAAACGATTCAATGTTTGAATTGATTCAACGAGTTGATTCCGATCACTCCAATCGAATCGAATCAATTGGTATCGAATCAAATCGATTGCATTTGACTCCAATCGATTCGCATTCGATTAGAATTAATTCGATTCGATTTTATTTTACTCTGTTTTGCTTTGTTTTAATTTTATTTTATTTTTATATACAGGCTGCGAAATTTAATGTTTTCAGTGGAGACTTTAGTCACATTTGTAAATATAAATAATACAAATATTATCATCCAGATTTAAGTCATACGACCCTCACTCTCTCTAGGGGGAAAATTCATTGATAATCCACATTATTCCAGGTTTGCTAATATTACAGAAGGCTTTTTATATTAGTGCAAATACCTATCACAAGTTATATACTACATAAGTTTTTTATAAGTACATGTTATCTATATCTATATTATAACCAGTTGCATCTGTCAAAACTGAAGACGGCTGCACCAAGAAACTGCCCACATAACATGGAGTACGACAAGGTTGTGTATTATTGACAAATCCTTTTAATTTATATTCCGAAGCAATATTCAAGAAACCCTTGGTTGGCAGACCAGAAGAAATAAAAATTGGTGGCGAAAAGATAATATCAGATTTGCTGATCATACAGCAAATCATACAGAAATGTAGAAGACCTTCAAATAATTTTTAAGCCTGATAAATGAAGCAAGCCGAACGAAAGGTCACATAATTAATAATAAGAAAACGAAGTGGATGGCAGTTGGCAAAATAAATACAGTTAACCAGCAAATTTGGATAGATTGAGAGAAAGAAGAATGTGTCAATCATTTTAAATATCTAGCTGGTTAAACACAAATGCAGACTCTGATATAGATAATAACACAGATTAAAATATCACGTAAGGCATTTACATGTAAACCAGTTGTGTGTAATAGATTTATAATATAAATAATAGAGTTATTTAGAATTAACCTTCGTAAAACGGTTTTGAGATGTTATGTTTGGTCAATCCTATTGTATGGTTGTGACACATGGTCCCAAAAAGCAACAACGTTGAAAAAAAAAAAAACGTTTTAAATGTGGTATTACCGCAAGATTCTAAGAATATCGTGGATCTCGCACACTTCCAACGAAAGTGTTTTCAGAGTGATGGACACTGAACACCGTCTATTTACTGTTTAACTCAAAATCTTGTAATTTTCAATCAGTTGAACAACCAGTACTACTTACTACACCGTTCTTAAATGATCATATGTTAGTCACGGTCACGTTCACCGAGAATATCATAGTTATTATATAAACACGTGTTATGAGAAGGTTGCGGTAAAATTGATAACCGATACAATCTGGTCACCGATCACGGTTATCGAAGTGAACAAGGGCCGGTAGTCACTGGTTGATCATGATGATAAATCACCGGCAGTGAAATAACGATCTAGCACTAGTATTCTTACAACACAGATTACAATTAATTCGTCGCGACCATAGTTGCAAGATGCGATTTTCTAAATCTCCCACTTAGAAACTGAAATTCCCCCAAATTTAGGCTTAAATCCCCCAAATAATTACAATTTTTATAAATCTGAAAAGACTGTAGACTGGAGCACAATTTTTCATACTATTTATACTAAAACAATGAATTAGAATAATTTTTCATACTAAAACAACGACAACAATGTTACTTGACAATTTATAAAAACCGATGTCACTTATATTTTAAAATTCCATAACATCAACCTGAAGAGTTGAAATTTCCCTAGCATAGCCAAAATACGACACCGATACTAGATCTTTTATAGACGTCAACATGGTATATTAATAAAAAAAATAGAATCGGAATATTGAGAATTTTAGAATTATACAAATTAAATAACCAACAACATTTTTTATTATCAACAATATAAATTTTATGAAACAGTTGTTGAAATAGTAGTACTTCAAAAATTAATAATTTTAATTAAAAAGATTAGAAAATCGGACGCCATTGATTATGGATAGAATCGGGACGACGAGGCTTTGAATCCTATTTGTTCTTTTATTAACTCAATAATTTCCAAATTTCTTAGGCTTCCGTTTTGGCTATATTCCGCATCCAACGGTCCTTTAATCCACAGCCGATATATGAAAGTACATATTTCTAAAAGTTACCTGACCACACGACGGTGGTCTATTAGGAAAAAATTATCTATATTTCAAAACTAAATGCCTATATTTTTGTAAAATATTTAGATAAGTACATTTTTTGGGTGTCTTAAAGGTATCTACTAAACAAACCAGATATGTATATTGTTTATTTATGGAAGAAATAGCTTTTTAAGCATAAACCTCCTTTTGATAGACCACCGTTGTGTATCGGAGTATTAATCCTTAACGGAGGTGGCCTAGGTGGTCGAAAATCGATTTTTACATATTTTAAATTTATTTTCTAATGCATGGATATGGAATGGAAATTTTCTTCGCTATTGCTAGCCTGCAGGGGAATCACTTGAGTACTTGGACCTTATATTTGCATCAAAATGTGGAGAACAGTAAACCAAAATTATACTATTTCTCAACAGAGGGCGCTCTCAACAGAGAGTTGTATGTACATTCGCAAATTTAATTGACCATGATCTCCTAAAATCCTCCACAATTTCCCCCCCCCCAAAAATCCCCAAGTAATTTCAGCTTATAAAAATGACGCTTTCAAATTACCCCAAAGCTACACATTTATTGCGTGTGTTGCCTTAGTGGTGGTGGTGTGACCCACTTCAAGGCAGGGTTCTCACTACTCATTACCCTACACTACGAGTCTCATGAGTTTCGCAATTAGATGTATCGCGTTAATTTATCACAGATCAACAAAGATCAAAACTATATACACTTGGTCCTGAATTTTCAAATATAGTTTCAGTGTATGTTCGCTTTGATTAAAAATCAAAGGCAATTAATAAAAAAACGTGTGAAATTAAAACAATTAGTAAGAAATACTAGGAAAATATACATACCTGACAGATGGTGGCCATAAGGGGAAGAGACAGATTCCAATAGCTCCCAAAACTAGGAAAGTACCGATTATCCAATAGTGGAAAGGAATTGGATCGTATATCCAAACGTACGCATCTAAATTGTCTTCAAAACGTTGATCGTAGTGCATTTCCAATTTAATTTTCTTCTTTTTCTTTTCTTTTCAGGCTATAACAAGGAAAATACATATTTTACTAAATTTTCTCAATTCGCCATTTTAAAAAATACAATCTAACTTTGTGTAAGAAATAAATATAAATATATTTTATTGTAGGCTTAATAAAGGAACATAGAAATAATTTAGATAACTGAAATTTCTAAAATATAAATACAGATGATACTAAAAATCAAATGTTCTAAGGATTCACAAAATATGGAATATTTCTTAAATGTAGACTTTGGTGGAAAATATGCTGCTCCTATAATAACCTGATATACACGTTCAGTCACCAAGACAAAAAGTTGTTCGATAGTCTGGTTAATTGTTAAAGATCTACTGCTTAAGCTCTTATGAACTGCAATAAGGACTCCACCACCTCTTGAGAATGAACTTGTTTCCCTGAAGCGATCAGTTCTATTTAAATATGTTAAGGTCAAATAATAATTTTATTATTATCAACTAGTACAGAGGGAACTCGTTTTTTAGATATGCTGCTTACTTATTCTATTTTTTGTGTACATTAAAAAAGTCGTGCCTAGATATCACATCCTCCATTTCGTCGCACCTTTCTCTCATCGATTTTTCTTTGGCTAATATTATCTCCCTTTTAATTCTTCTCTGTAGATGTCTATACTCTGTTTCATTCGATTTTAGTCGACGTTGTTACATCCATTTCAAAATGTCTTCTGTCATCCATTGATTTTTCTTGATTAAGTTACTTCTATAATCAATGTTTATTGAGTTTTTGTTAACTTGGTTTTTAAATTCATTCCACAGTTTCTCTGACATACAGTTTCATCAGGTAGCTGTTCTACACATTTCTGGTATATACAAGGTGGTCCAGAATTATGTACATTAATTTCTAGAGCTCATAGTACGTCCAAAAATAAGGGTACTTCTTTATGTACACTTTTTTATAAAACTGAATAATAAGGGAGATACAACCCTTTAAAGGGGTGAATTGAAATTCTTATTTTTTCAAATGTCTTCCAAACGGTTTTGAATACGGAGTTTATATTTTGGGAGTGATTATAAGACATTAGGATAATTAATTTCATGACACCACCTACCACATCCTATATTAATACATGGTAGTTTTGGAGGGTAAGTGGGGTTATTGCGTCACATGTTTTTTAATTTTTACATATTTAAAAAAAATATTTTAAAAATTGTTTCCTTAGACTTTTCTACGCAAAAAAGGTGCTCTTGTAATATTTCGATAGATATCACCGTTTTCGATTTATTTAAACTCGAAGGTATACATGTATTTTATTGTAATCGTTACATTTCTTAATATTCATCAAGTATGCTTTGGAATTGACACTTGTGTTAGCAACAACCCTATCTCAAGTAGTCTATGAATTGTCAGTGACGTTTAATAACAATTAAATTATTTTATCTACACTTTTATTGTACTCGACAGTGAAATTTGTTTAACACGTCTCTTTTGCTATATTTTTAAATTTGTTTGCCCGCAATATGGCACACTATTCAAATTCTGAGATGACAGACATACTTTTAGTATTAGGTGAATGTTCGGGAAATGCTGCTGCCGCTGTAAGACGCTACAGAGAAAAGTATCCGAACAGAAATATTCCCAATGCCAGGACTTTTGTAAGTACTGAACGACGACTGAGAGAAACCGGTTGTCTTCAAAGAAGGAATACAATACAGATGCTGGTCGTCGTAGAGAAGCAAGAAATGTTCGCGTTGAACAGCAAATATTGGATGCTGTAATAAATGACCCCACAATAAGTACACGCAGATTAGGATTAAGAACGAATATTTCCCATCAAAGTGTTTTAAGAGTTCTGCATGAAAAGCAATTACATCCTTACCACTATCGACAGGTGCAGGAATTGTTACCTGACGATATGCCACTTAGAGTTGATTTTTGTGAAGTATTGCAAAATAAAGTTCAAACTGCACCAAATTTTTTAAGCAACATTCTGTTTACAGACGAGGCCACATTTACAAGACAAGGTATGTTCAATTCTAGAAATATGCACTTCTGGACTGAAGAAAATCCAAGGGCTACAATGGAAACTCACTTCCAACACACGTTCAAGATAAACGTTTGGGCAGCTACTTTAGGAAATAGTTTCATAGGATACCACATCTTTCCCGGAAATTTAAATGGTAACATGTATTACAATTTTCTAGACAATATTTTACATGATATTTTGGAAGATATTCCATTACAAATACGAAGAAAGATGTTTTTCATGCATGATGGTGCTACACCACATTACACAAGAATTTATAGAAGGGGGTTACATGAACATTTCCCTGATAGGTGGATAGGCCGGGGTGCGGATGTACCGATTCATTGGCCTGCTCGTAGTTGTGATCTTAATCCAATGGACTTTACAGTATGGAGTTATTTGAAATCAAAAGTAGTTAAGAGACAAAATTGAACAAGCATTTACCGATTTACAAAACGATCCAGTAACATTAAATGGATTAATGCGTTCGCTAAATAAAAGAATTGGATTATGTATTCAACAAAATGGAGGACATTTTGAACAGTTGTTGTGAAATATTATTTTCGCCATTAATTAAATGTTAATATTAATTAAGTTTTCCATTAATTTGTAATATTATTGCTAACACAAGTGTCAATTCCAAAGCATACTTGATGAATATTAAGAAATGTAACGATTACAATAAAATACATGTATACCTTCGAGTTTAAATAAATCGAAAACGGTGATATTTATCGAAATATTACAAGAGCACCTTTTTTGCGTAGAAAAGTCTAAGGAAAAAATTTTTAAAATATTTTTTTAAAATATGTAAAAATTAAAAAACATGTGACGCAATAACCCCCACTTACCCTCCAAAACTACCCTGTATTAATATAGGATGTGGTAGGTGGTGACATGAAATTAATTATCCTAATGTCTTATAATCACTTCCAAAATATGAACTCCGTATTCAAAACCGTTTGGAAGATATTTGAAAAAATAAGAATTTCAATTCACCACTTTAAAGGGTTGTATCTCCCTTATTATTCAGTTTTATAAAAAAGTGTACATAAAGAAGTACCCTTATTTTTGGACGTACTATGAGCTCTAGAAATTAATGTACATAATTCTGGACCACCTTGTATTTTAGATCTAAACTACTCTGAGCGATTCTTGTGTTCTTTTTGCTAAAATCGAAATCCAAATGGAACTGGACTCAATACTGTGCGCTCTTCCGTTTTTATTGGATAAGAAAGAATTACTGAATTTAAGCATGTTCTATTCGTTGTTATCATTGTTGTTGGAATGATAAAAACTATCTATAAAATACCTGCAACTATATCTACTCGTTGTTGGAATGAAGTATCGTTTAAAAACCATTGCATTAATCCTTAAATAGTTATTTTTCTAAAATAAAGAAATGAAAACATCGACTAACCTTTTGATCCTTGCTACCTTCGACGACACTGCTTTCGGCGTCAGTCACCTTCTCCTTTTCTTTCTCCTTTTTCTTTTCGTCTTCTCCAGAATCAACATTTTTCTTCTCTTTATCATCTTTTTTTTCTTTTTTCTTGCCTTTCTTTCCTTTCAATTCTTGTTCGTCTACCGGTACTTTACGTGCCCGATGGAAGAGTTTGTGCGTTAGCATGACGTGGAGATAATCGGCAATACCTTCTCGAGTCTTGAAGAGTGGATCATCTTTGGTTGCGAATGGCGAGTTAAGGAGTGCGTCGACTGCTCGAGCTCCTAAAAGGAAGCAAATTTGTGGATTAGTAAAAAAGAAAAGTAAAGTAACATTAGCTAAATTAAGAATTGTGAATTCACAAGTTGTGAACGTAAAGTAACATTAGCTAAATTAAGAATTGTGAATTCACAAGTTTGATTTTGTAATAATATTTGTATTCGATTTGAATCGTGTTTTCCTAGAATGCAAAATTAACGAGAGATATATAGACCAATTATATTACAGTCTACAACAAGAACAAGTGTGTTTCCCAAGAACGAAATATCAAGCGTTTTAAACAAATTCTATAGTGCCTTTTTGTGAAAGAATATCCCGTACAATCGGAATTATTGGTTTAAACTAAATTTTTATAATGGATACTGGACTCAAAAACGATTTGTTTTAGTGATTATTTATCTTTATCTTTATAGACAATTATTAAATGTATTGAGTATGCATATTTTTCGATTGAGTAATATGCCACGGATGTTTAGCCTAGATTATTTATTTAATACAATTTGCAAATACTATTATTTTATACAATTGACAATATTCACTAACCGATATACTATTTTTGTCAAAATTCAACTGCTATTTTTAATAGTAATGACGTGTTTCATATATTGCTTTGTAAATTTTATTGCAAGATCGAGTAAAAGCTATTATTAGTGTGTGGCTCTCAACAGTATTTTCTTCATTAAAATTCTTTGACTCATTCTCTTAAGATCAGCTTTATTTTTTTAATGTATTTGGTTAATACACCCATTCAGATTGTTGTTCAATTTTGTTCAACAACAATTTTGAACTATTTTTCGTTAATAACTATTCCTACACTTTTAATATAAGCGACAAAATGGAAAATCTATCTCTGGGGGTCCTATGTTATACGCATGATAAAGTTTTTATAACCGAGAATAAAAATATAGCCGAACACACAATATTGTACTCTCATTAAATATTAGATATCATCCCTTCGATGGTTATTATTTTTCCATTTGATTTTGTTAACGAATAGTTTCACTATAAATATTAAATAACATTGACAACAAGATGTGCCCTTGTCTCACCATTCGTCATCTTCTATTTCTTGAGATATTTTGACTTAATTTAATCTTTTAAAACATTCTTAAAGTTTATTATTACATCAGTTTACTAGCGATAAGTTAATCGGATGTGATTTGGGTTAATAAATGATTATCCGTAGCACGATCGTTCGGAAAGTTAGGTACTTTTTACTTTTTTTTTCTACAATTTGTAACCTCGGAATCATTTTTTGGATGGTGCTAGAAAGGTCACCAATGGAGACACTGCGGACGGCAGCCAGATGGTTGGTGGAGAGCGAGCCGTGGGTTCGAAACTAGCTTTTGGAACCGAGAATGGGTCCAACATATGAAATAAGTAAAGATAGGATATTAGAAAAGATACAGAAATAAACAAAAAGATAGATGGGTAAAATTACCAAAGATACGATAAGATAGAAACAGGGAGGGCGCCACTCAATTTTTTGGGGTTAAGGAGAAAATTAAGAAACCTTAGAAAAGAAAAGAGATCAGGAAAGATATTTAGGTTCAGAGATCAAACCCAAGGAAAGATACCAACAGTTCATTATCAAATAAATTTAGTCAACACATTATATAAACAAATAATAAATATATTAGGTATTACACTAACTTACCTACGAAACTTAATCAGCCTGATCTTTCTACTGGTCAAAGGTATTGTAATATTTAAAGGTAAAAAGCAAATACTCAGAGTTTCTATTTTATCAGGGAACTTGTTAGGAGCCGACAAATAAAATACATACATAAAACAATAACAATATATTCAACAACAAAATTATGACTCTGCTGAATGCAACACAAGTAATAAAAGTACACCAAGAACTATAAAATGGTGGTACACATATAAAAATAAGCAGTAATATAATTAGAAAATACCTTTACAAAGATATATAATACAATCATGTACAAATAAAGTTTTGGCATATCTCGAGATATTACAGCAAAAAAAAAAAATGAATAAAAGTTATAACCAACACAAAAGATAACAAAATTTAATCAATCCTAAATTTACAAAAAGGTTACAGAAACGAAAACATAAGAATTTAACCAAACCGCACTTGGTTAAGTGGATTAACTATCCCGCTCTATTATTTAATGAGAAACTGAGACTTAAATGTTCATAATTATTACTTATGAAATTTCTTGAATATATTGAAATATTCTTTAAATTGAATGCAAAAATCAGCAATTTACAGGTGAAGACATGGAGGAACTTTAGATACGTCCAGATAATGGCAGATTATATGATACCATACCATATTACTCGCCCAGATAATTTGAAGATAATGATTACTTACAGTAAATCTTGACGACTGCGGCACTAGGTACTTCACTGAAGCTATATACTGTACTTAATACTTTACTTGTATCCAACACTGACTTTAATTAACATTAAAGGTACTTTAGAACTATATATAATCTAATATAGTATAAGAAAAGAAAACTCAAATATAAAGTGTACACACACTTAGAAAACAAATCACAGATAGTAAGATAACAAGCGTCTTTCCTCAAAGAAAGACCACTCCGAAGTCTCACGAGATATCAGCCTTTACTCAACAACGCCCCACCGAGAAGTAACTAGGTTTTTCTAAAATTTTACAAACTACCCAAGAAAAAAGAGGGGATATCTCCCACTTAGAAATCATAGGCCAGTTGTATGTAGTTCTGAGAAGGTAAAAATATTCTAATGGACATAGAAAAGTTTGAGGTATTTACGGTAGGTACTAGTAATTGGACGTGATCAAATATACAATCCTTTGGATTATGTTATTGTCAAAAGATTACTATGCGTGCCTTCGACGAAAATTACCAATTTATGAAAAAGAACCCGCACACCAAAAAGCATTAGTTCCTTTCATACTCGGGATTAAGAAGGAAAGGATTAACAACCTTTCTTAATTAGGGAAATTCCGTGTTATTTTGGTAGGTAAATTCTTCCGTCATAAACATTTCTAATCGTACACACGATCATCGGCGTATAATCCACATGCGTAAAAGGAATAAAAATAATTAATATTTTAATTATATAAAAAAATGTTACAAATTTCAACGATTATTTTTAACAGTATTGTTTCATATTTCTTTGAGTGTATTGTTCAATCTTTATTTGAGTGTATTGTGCACGCAGGTCTTTAAGATCCATAGGTGTTTCTCAACTGTCGTTATACAATGTTATACTGGGCAAAGAGTGGCTCAATGGGTTGGAAAGGATATGGTTATTATATTTTGAGATTGAAAATGCACAATTTTAAATGACTTAAAAAGGTAAGACTATTAATAGCCCATATTATTCTGCATTATTGAAAAAATTGAAAGTGTTCTTTTTCCTGAAACAATGAAAAAGGACAAATGACCAAAATTCATGAGTTAGGCTTCGAATTGCTTTCTAATCTGATTTGACCCCCTCTGATTATTATGTTTTCCCACATCTGACGAAATAGTTCGTAAATAGAAAAATTAGGTCAAACGAAAAGATCATTGACGAAACAAATGCAGAGAATATTATATACAGCAGAATCGTATTATTCCGACGGCATAAAAAAGTTGGAAATCGCTAAAATCGTTCTTCTTCTTCTTCAAGTGCCATCTTCGTTCCGAAGGTTGGCGATCATCAGGGCTATACGTATTTTCGAAACTGCTGACCGAAACAATTCGTTGTTGCTACAACTATACCATTCCCGTAGATTCTTTAGCCAGGAGTTTCGTCTTCTTCCTATGGACCTTTTTCCTGCTATTTTCCCTTGCATAATTATTCGAAGCAGTTCATATCTTTCGCCTCTTGTAATGTGGCCCAAGTATTGCAGTTTTCGTTTTTTGATTGTAAATATGACTTCCTTTTCTTTGTTCATTCTTCTCAAGACCTCGACATTTGTGACTCTCTCGGTCCATGATATTCTCAGGATTCTGCGATACATCCACAGTTCAAATGCCTCTAATTTTTTGGTATCAATCTTTTTTAACGTCCATGACTCCATTCCGTAAAACAGCACAGAAAGTACGTAACATCTCATCAGGCGAAGTTTCATTTCAAGGCTCAAATCTCTTCCGCAGAACACTCTCTTCATTTTAGTGAATATGGATCTGGCTTTTTCTATTCTTATTTTGATTTCCGCTGAGCTATCGTTGTCTTCATTTATAAAAGTGCCTAAATATTTGTATTTGCTAACTCGATCGATAATTTCATTGTGTAAATATAAATTTTGGACATTTTGTGTTGATTTCGATATTACCATAAATTTCGTTTTCTTTATGTTCAAAGATAGTCCATATTCTTCGCTGCAGTCTGCTATCTTATTCACCAATGTCTGTAGCTCTTCAAGTGTTTCTGCGATCAGAACGGTGTCGTCGGCAAATCTCAGATTGTTTAATCTAACACCATTTATTTTAATACCTACGGATTGCTCAGAGAGTGTTCTATTCATTACGTCTTCGGAATAGAGATTAAACAGGGTTGGTGACAGTATACACCCTTGTCTCACACCTCGCTTTATTTCAATTTCTTCAGTGGTATTATTCTCTACTCTCACTACTGCTTTCTGATTGTAGTACATATTTGCTATTAGTCGGATGTCTCGTTTATCTAAATTCTTTTCTGTCAGGAGTCTGATTAGGTGATCATGCCGCACTTTATCAAAGGCCTTGTTGTAATCTATGAAACACATGAATACATCTTGATTTATGTCAAGACATCTTTGAGACATAACGTTCAGTGCAAACAACGCCTCTCTTGTTCCGAGTCCATTTCGGAATCCAAACTGGGTATTATTGATGTCCAGTTCCAGTTTTGTGTGTACTCTAGAGTGTATAATTTTCAGGAATATTTTCAGTACATGGCTCATCAGACTGATTGTACGGTAATCACTACATTGTTTGGCATTTATCTTTTTTGGTATAATAACAAAGGTGGATAAAAGCCATTCTTGTGGTATTTTTCCTGATGTATAAATGCTATTGAAAAG